GACTCATGCCAAAATTCATTTCAAGCATGCTGTCAGTTACTGACAATCATAAGGTTTGTTTCAAGCCTGTTGGGAGCTAACAGGGAACTACAGTTCCTTGAGAAGGGCAGCCTATAGCTAGTGAATTTATTTCAGCTTAACTAGAATAGAAGTTTTAAGGCCTAAACCTTTGCAATTACCTCATTTCTTCACATTTAACAGCAAAAGTGCTCCCTTTGAGTCCATTTGTAATACTCTCTGTACCTCCCTGTGGTGTTACTTACCCAGCTGTGTCAACTCTCAGCTTTTTGAATGCTGTCTGCAGGCTTTCCTCTTCTCCATCCTTAGCTTCCGTTTTCATTATTGGGATGGCCAGAAGGTGTCAGAGTTACCATGTACTGCTACAAGCATTAAAAAAAAAACACATGAAAATAAGAACCAACGCATTGTTAAAAACATTAGTTGCCCAGCAGCACCATAATACATGAAAATAAACTCAAAAATAGCACGCTGAGCACATAAGGCTGAGGTCATTCTAGCGGAACATTTCTGAAAGTTGATTCAGAACAAGCTGATGATACCCAAAAAGAGAAGAGTCTCTTGTACAAGTGCATACGTGAATTAGCAATTTAAAGTAAAAACTGGTGTCACAAAGATGGTGGCTTGCCCATCCGTTACAGTCCAGACTCTTCTATTCATCTTACAGTGTCACCAAAATAATTCCAGAGGAGGTGAAAGGTAGAAGGAACACCGCTGTTAGAAAGAGTCAGCTTCCTACAACTGCTGTTTCCAGCTTTGGGACACATATAAAAAAATCTCAAACCAACAGATTTTCCTTAAAATGAGATAAAAATTAAACAAAAACTTTTGATCTTATGTCTAGATCCCAGCAAGTTACACAATCCTATCAGGACATGGCACTGTGATTGCAAATAGCCAATAAAATTTTCTAGTATCAGCTCTTGAACAAGTACAAATGCCAATTAGAGCACAAACAACAACGAGTGAGCCTGTTTTAAATAAAAAAAGTAACTGATAAAAACTGGCTGATATATTTTTCTTTTAATCTACCCTGCCCATCAGTTAACCTAGCTACAAAGGAATCTCAAATCTTTCTAATTTGATGCTCCTCATTGCCTTACACTTCTGCAATCACATGCATATGCTACACCAGCCAGGCTTCAGCTGAAAAAAGACCTGGTAAAGGTTTGCTTCCCTGACAACAGCAAGTCTCAGTTCTACTCCAAACTAACTCAAGCTCAGTACCTGTTGAAGTTTACCTGGCCGATTAACCTGCTTTTGACTTGACTACTTCTGGAAAAACAGGGCCATTTTGGGTCAGTGCCATTACTACAAGAGCCTCCTGGCCACACTATCTGGGTTGTGACAAGATCATCTCCTCAATCTTTATTATTAAATTGCAAGGTTTTCACACTTGACAACATTCTACAATGAGATCTGTTTGGTAGACAAGGGGAGAGCAGTGGATGTTTTCTACCTGGATTTCAGTAATGCTTTCATTGTCTCCCACAAGACCCTCAGAGGAGGTGATGATAAACCATCACTGGATGATTAGTCAGTGGCATGGACTGTAAGAGAGGCACAGCAACTGGGCCCAAAGCGTGGCAATCACTGACACAAAGTCTAGTTGGAGGTCAGTAACTAGCAGGGTAACCCAAGGTACAGGGCCCAGTGCTGTTCATCATCTTCATTAAAGATCTGGATGATGTGGCAGGGTGTTCCTTCAACAAGTTTGCTGATGACACCATACTGGGATGGGTGGCTAAGGGACAACGACAGGCTGGAAAAAGGGGCCAACAGGAACCTCATGAACTTCAATGAGGGGGAAGTGAAAAGCCCTGTTCCTGCAGAGGAACAAACCCATGTGTCAGTACAGCTTTGCAGAAAAGGCCCTTGCGGTCCTGGCACGCATCAGGATGTACACGACCCAGCAATGTGTCTTTGTGGCAAATGGACTAATGGTATCCTGAGGTCAAGGGAGCTGATCCTTCCCTCTGTTCAGCTGGAGTGCTGCTCCCACCGCTGGGCCCCCTGGTACAGGAGACACTGACATGCCAGAAAGAATCCAGTGAACAGCCACTAAGGTGATGAAGGAATTGGAACATGTCTCCTGCGAGGAAAGGCTGAGAGAGATGAGACTGTTAAGCCAAAAAAGGGCTCAGGAGGGATCTCATCAACATATATATACCAGAAGAGTAGGTACAAAGAGGACAAGAGCCCAGCTCTTCTCAGTGGTGCCCAGCGGCAGGACCAGGGTGCCTGGGCACATACTAGAATGCAGGAGGTGCTGCTGTCTGAGCATAAGGAAAGACTTTGCTGTGAGGGTGACTGAGCATGGTTACAGGCAGCCTGGGGAGGCTACAGAGTCTCCCTCCTTGGAGATACACAAAAGCCACCTGGACACAGTCCAGAGCAACTGGCTTGGGGTGGCCCCCCTTGAGCAAGGGGGTTGAGTCTCCAGGGATCTCTTCTGTGATTCTGTATCTTCTTGATGCTCTAAGAATGCTTTACAAAGGTAACTATCCAAACCCAGGAAACTATAACAGCTCTTGTAACAACATACTTGCATAGAGCACTAGCACTACTTACCAATACAGCAACAACGCCTACATTACTACTACTTTTAGCAACAAAGTACCAGCTTTTCTGTAGCATGAGAAGGTGTCTGTGAAGAGAGAGAAACTTGAACCTCTGCAGCTCAGTTATTTATGCAGCTATCAAGTGATCATCTCTGCTTCCTCACAGCCTCATTCCAGCTGGAGGTGGCAGCTCTCTCCTCTGTTGTTCCAGCTGTGATTTCATCTGGACACCTCATATTGCAGACAGCTATTATGAGACACGCTGAAGGCTAATGTATCATAACAACGTCAAGGAACACGGTGTCCAGTGAGTCAGACAGCAAGTAAACATGAGAGGAGGAAACCAACACACAGATTGACAACATGATGCTCATCTGAGCAAGTTATTACTTCATGTACTCTTAATTAGATACTACTGCTTGGGTGAAACACATGAAGTCTTACTTCAGTAAGATTCCCCCTTCACCCCAAAAGAAAATTATTAAATCAGCCTACAGCTTTTTTAACACCAAAGCCCTGTATTAGATAACCTCAGCAAGAGAAAAAAAAGCTTTCAAATCATAGCATCATAGAATAGCTAGGGTTGGAAGGGACCTTAAGACCATCTAGTTCCAATCCCCCTGCCATGGGCAGGGACACCTCCCACTAAACCATGCCAACCAAGGCTCTGCCCAACCTGGCCTTGAACACCACCAGGGATGGAGCATTCACAACTTCCTCAACCCATTCCAGGGCCTCACCACCCTGACGGTAAAGAACTTCTTCCTTAGATCCAATCTAAACTTCCCCTGTTTCAGTTTGAACCCGTTACCCCTTGTCCTATCACTACAGTCCCTAGTGAACAGTCCCCCCCCAGCATCCCTACAGCCCCCCTTCAGATACTGGAAGGCTGCTCAGCCTGGAGATATTCTCCAGGCTGAACAGCCCCAACTTTCTCAGCCTGTCTTCATACGGGAGGTGCTCCAGCCCCCTGATAATCCTCGTGGCCCTCCTCTGGACTTGTTCCAGCAGTTCCATATCCTTTTTCTGTTGAGGACACCAGAACTGCACACAATGCTCCAAGTGAGGTCTCACAAGAGCAGAGCAGAAGGGCAGGATCACCTTCTCCAACCTGCAAACCACTGTACATTATTCAAAACATACTACAGTTTTAGACTATATATTTTATGCTGCCCTTCATCACTGACACAGTAACAAAAGTTTAATGTTGTGTCAAAAAAACACATCGAGCTGTCTGCTCTTCGTATCCTAGGAAAACACACATCTTCCCCTTCCCACCCTATGTCCAGCTCTTCCCCACAATACACAACCACTAGCCCGGCGCGCTACAAGACACCCAGCACCACTCATGAAGTTACAAAGCACAGGCGCAGCCGTTCGGTTAAAGGCAGGCAAGGCCAGGGACCGGCAGCTCCGGGGCAGCCCCGAACCGGGCCGCCAGCCCCAGAGCAGCACCCGGGCAATGGGAAGGGAGCTGCAACGGCTCCCCTCCCGCCCGACGCCTCACGGGCTCCTCACGGGCTCTCACACCCCGGTGCCTGCCGCCCGCACCTGGGGACCCCCGGCCCAGCTCCTGCCCCGCAACCCCCAGGCGGAGCCCAAGAGACACCGCGGCCTCGGCGCTGAGCGAGGCCCCGTCGTAGGCGGGGGTGACTCAGCACAACCCCCGCACCCCGCCGGGGAAGCCCCGGAGCTCTCCTCCTCACCCACAGCGAGGGCACCGCTGGCAGCTCCGGACACCCGCAGGGCACGGTCCCGCCGCGGGGACACAACAGCCCCACCGGCCCCGTCCGCGGGGGGGAAGGGGGGCAGCGCGCAGGGACCGCTGCAGACCCCGCCGCGGAGCCCGAACTCACCGCGTCCGCCCCAGGGCCCGGCCCGGCCGCGCACCGCCGGCCCCGGAAGCGACGGGGGCCGAGGAAACCGAACTGCGGCTGGAGGTGGAGGGAAGCGCGCATGCGTATATCCGCGGGGCGGTGACCTCACTTCCTGTTGTGCTCCGCGCCCCACCTCCCACCGCGAGCGTGAGGCGGCGGTGAGCGGCGCCGCCGGGTCCTGGTGCCCCCGGTCTGAGAGCGGCCGCATGGCGGGGTGAGAGGCGGCGGGGCCCTGCGGAGCTGGCGGAGCCTTGGCGGGGCGCGGGAGGCTGCGGGGCCAGCGGGGGCTTCGGGACCGTCCGGTAGGCAGGGGCCTGCGCGGGTGCGGCGGCAGCGTGGGCCTGTGCGGGTGTGGCGCCGGCCCCTTGTTCGATGCAGCTGTGGCGGGGACGTGCCGGGCTCTGAGGAGCGCGGGGCTGGAGCTCGCGGTCGGACGCACCGGGCTGGTCGGGAGGTTGCCTCCAGCCGCGTCACTTCGGTGCTGTACAGACTGTGTGTGTCCGGACCTCGCCATCCATCCCCGGTTCCTGTGTTTCAGTGTGTTCTGTATGGCACGGCTGGCTGCACGCTGAGCACTCATCCATGGACTTGGAAGCTAAAGATGAAGAGGAAGAGAGTCTGCAAACGGCTTTCAAAAAGCTGAGAGTAGATGCAGCAGGGTGAGTGACAGAAAGCACCGTGTCGCTTGTCAGTGTCTTTTGCATTTGGCTTCTGTTATTTTGCATCTCAAAACAAATATCATTTAACAGAAGGTGCCGTACTCTGCAAGAGGAGACAACTGCGTCGTTTCTGATGAAACGCAGTCATTGCAACTAATAGGCAAAGCAGTACTTTATTACTGGCTAATTTTAGCATGTTAGCCAACTGAAATTACACAGTGACTGCATAAAATGACTTGCCCAAAGCAGCAAACCCACTCTTAACTGTTGTGGTAGCCATAGTGATATAGAAGTTGTTTGGCTGCTGGTATCTTCAGCTGCTATAGTGGGTGAAGATCTGTTTGGAAAGTGTCCATAGGACACACCAGCACTTCACAGTGTGCTGGGCAGCTCAGTCCCACTGTAAATCATCAGGCTAAATATGAGCACTGATAGTTTCTGATTTCAGGGGATTTTGTAGAGTGAAACATCTGCAGACTTTATTATATTAAATTAAATTATTCTATGACACACCAGGTATACTGATAGTATGGAGTAAAAATGTTCTTTAAAAGCAGGAGTTAATAGGATTATGCAGTCTGACATTTTGTGAGATAGTTCACCAGAAGTCTTTTGGGAATTCCCAAAGAGAAAGCTTTGTATCAGTAATTAATGTTGCCTTGTGATTTCATCTCCATGGCCATCAATACTGCAAACTCATTACTTCCTCTGCATGTTAAAATACATTTTGCTTTGCTACTCATTTCTTCTACTTCAGGAGGTCTTCTGTTAAATGTCGGAAAAAAATAGCTGTGCTCTAACAAGGAACTACTTATTAAGCATACCACTTTTGACGTACTACCAGTGACAGACTGTGTGGAATTCTGGCTGATTCCTGATGACATCTTCTTAAGCATAAGAAGATCTTGTTTTGCAGGCATGTGTTTTGACCAGCTCAAGTGTTGTGACTAATCCCTTAAGATCAACTTTGGGCAGAGTACTTGGGCTCTTCTGCTAGAATTTCAGCCTCATTTCTTATGATTTCCCATCCCATGTTCCAAATCACACATACAGCATCATAATGCAGATTCACGTGCTGAGGCATTTATGTTGTCTGGTCCTCCTGTGCATGTTTATCTGGGAAATTTAATGAGAAATAAACTGGCAATCTGTTCTGTCTGTTGTACCTCATCCATTTCTCCACTGACGACTCCTGAGGCTGCTATGGGTTCCCAGCTTTGCATTTTAGATGAGTAGGAATCTGTCTTTAACAACTATTGTCTGACAAGAACATTTGGAACCTCAGTTTACATTCCTTTAATGTATCGTTTTGGTACAAATAGGGCATGACAGCAGCCTCTGGGTGTTTTGGCCTGCTGTCATTTTATCTCACCTATCTTTAGACACTTCACTGAGGTCAGTATAGTAAGAGTGGTTAGATAAATCTGTAATATCCTGTTTCTAACCACTCACTATAGGGGAAGCTCAGGCTCCAAACTTCTTAGTGAAGCGTCTAAAGCGAATAGGCTGAATTTAGACCTCCAAAGCATCATGTTCAGGCATTACTATAAAGTGGCATTCCCCTTTCTACTCAGATGTATTGCGGCTCTGTCTGTTGGTGACGGGACGATGCTGAGAACAGCAAGAGCAGCTGTGGATGGAGCCAAGCAACAGACTGTCTGCTCAAAGGAAGTGTGGCACGGGTAAAATACCATTCACTGTGCCGTGCTCGTGGTTCTGGTTTGAGACATTTAACACTCGAATACTGTTCCCAGTGCATGTTGTTAATTAGTTGCTTCAACATATCTCTTCTCTCCCTTATTACAAAACTTTACCGTAACTGTTTTGATATGGTGTTTTTAAAGATGCTTTCAACAAAGACTTTAAAACCAATATTACCTCTTAGGGCACTTAAAACTTTCTTGTCCACTGATTTCCTCAGAAGTCCTTTTGTTCAAGCCTTACACCTTTGCAACCCGCTCTCGCCTTTTTCTTGGTTTATTTTATTTCTGTATTGAAGTACCTGGATATTCATGATTCTGCCAGCAGCTCCACCAGATATCCAGGTTCTGCACTACAGTTCAGTTGGGATGACAAGAGTATCATTTGGTTAGCAGAGAAGATTTGGGGGGAAGTACCTTTAAATAAGGGCTCTTTGTATGTGTCTTTGGAGGAGCCCAGATTTCTTCAGCCTTCTCCACTGTTCCTGTCAGAGACTGAGTGACCAGTCACCTGAGTTTTCTAAGCAGAAAAGAAAAGGAAAAAAGAACCCAACATATTCTAAAATAGTTTTAACCACAGTTTAGAGCTTACTGAGCTATGGTGTAGAGTCTGGAGTTACCAACTTGCTCACCTGTTATCACCCTGCAGGTGTGTGAGAAAGCCTTCCAGAGGATCAGCCAGAGTCCCACGTCGCAGGCGCTCCAAGTCTCCCGTCCTACATCCTCCCAAGTTCACTTACTGCAATATGAAAGCCAACAACCAGCTGAAACACAAAACCCAGGCAGATATGTCAAAGGGTGGCATCAGCTCAGACGTTTTTGTCACAGCAGAACACGGTACGAAGGACGGGCACGATTCTCACTTTGACGCTAGTGATGACAAAACTGAACCTTTGGAAGCTTTCACCGCTGAAGAGCCTTTGGAGAAGTCAAGAGAGAATTGTCCTACTCTCTCTTCATCCTTTGAGACTAGCTTGCATTCTAGCCAGACCTCAGATTTCCAGTCCTTATCCATGCTTAGCAATGGCAGGCAGTGCCCTTGTACGGACAAGAAATGTCAGTGCCAACAGTGGCGAACCATGGAAGTGTACTCCTTCTCTGGCTTACGGAGTGTCCTGTCAGAGTGCGAGAAGGCAGTCCTAGGAGTCCACACCCAGGCTCTTCAGAATAGGTCCCCTTGTGGGACAGCCTCATCAAGTTCTCCTAGGTCTTGTTCTGAGCAAGCTCGAGCCTTTGTGGATGACGTGACTATTGAAGATCTCTCAGGATACATGGAATACTACTTGTATATTCCCAAGAAGATGTCTCATATGGCAGAAATGATGTATACTTGACTGAAAGCAATAGAGAATCCTGAGTCAGTCTGTGATAACGGTTGGGTTAAATGCCTTGTCAGTGCCATGTTTTCACTCTCGTGTGTTTGATCAGATATTTCTTTGCCTCATACAGTTTAGTTTTCTAATAAAATGAAAAATGGAATATAGTTTCTGAGCTTAGTTCTAAAAAGAATGCACTAAAGTCTGAATACATTAACAAAAGCACTGTAGATCTAATGACTCCCCTTGGTTTTGGATTTGTGCTGTGGATATTCAAGCTCTGTAGTGCTGTTTTCACTATCATTTGAGGGGGGGGGGGGGAGGGAAGGCCTTCTTTTTTTTTTCCTGAAATTTTGCAGTGTTTAGAAGGTTCATTTTAATGTGTCCCAGTACTAAAGAGTAATGATTCATAGCTACAGCCCTATCCTCATCCTCCTCTAGGGAGAAGAGTGAGCAGTCATTCAGTATTTTGAATAGGATGAATCTCCTTTCCTCAGACACTACCTGGCTTGTTTTTAGTTGGATCCTGTTGTGAATTCCTCCCAAACGTGTTGGGAGGTCCATAATGTACAAGTGTGCTGCTCTTGGACCCCTCCATAAGTTAGCTAGCTCTCTCTTAAGCAGTTCTATTTTTCTGCAGATAAGCAAAGCTCTTAGAAGCAAGAGTATATTTTGTTATTTGTGCTTTACAGATGGAATAATTTAGGGGGGAGTGAAGCAGGCTAACAGGTTTTTTGGGCCATGTCTCAGAAGTGGAGATGGTGGAACCATCTATAGAGGTTGCTTCTGAGGATGTTTGGTCCACACAAAGCAGTGTGGAGAGGTAATAAAGAAGCATGTATCATACAGGCTTTGTGGTGTAGAGCTATAACATTCTGGTTGAAAATACTGAAATAAAACATTTTGTTGCTGAGACTTGCATAAATAAACGTTTATCAAACCCCAGCAAATTAAAGACTGAATAATTTGACTTACACTCATCTCCCCTCAAGACCTTTTCTTTAAAGAAAAACCCACCCTAAAGTGTACTTTCGGTGCCAGCTGTACACACGTGATAAACAACTGTGTTTGAATACTGCAGTTTTTACTTACATGCTTAAAACAGTAGTCAGCAAGCCAAGGAGTCACAAGCAGCTGTACGAAAATAGATTTGAGCAGATGTAGACAGCTGACCTCATGTCCTGTGCTAGGGAAGTCTCGGACATTCTAGTTGGTAATTGCTGTCTGTAGATTTTACCCGTCATCCCTCAATTTACACTATGAATCCAGGAAGCTCAGATTTTAAAAGCTCAAATAGATCCAAGTAAGTTAACATAAGAATACACCTAAAGCTGTTGCTTTGTTCCCAAGTGTCATGCAGTTATTGCAATATTTGCTCAGTCTCAAACTGATTTCTAAATGTTCTTGCATGAGTATTTCACTGTCTCCTTCACCTGCCTCTTCCAGCACTGTTCTGCGCACCCACACAAGCACAGTTCTGGTTTTCTTTGCTTTCCCTTCTTTCTTCCTACAGAAATTCTGGTATAATACATACTTTCCTTCTCAATGTAAATATTTAGTACTTGTTATCTTTGCCGCTGCCGTTTTTCAGAGGCTGTTTCTGCTTCAGCAGTGCCCTTCTGCTTGTGTTTCTGTCTTGTTTTTTGTGCCCATTTAAAATTGTTTGAAGGTATTGTTGCTAGATGCAGTCTTTCTCCCTTTTAGACTAAGGATTACCCCGGCCAGCCCTTATGTGGAATCTGTGCCTTTGAAGCTGATCTTTAACATGCACAAATGCAGGTAGTGATACCCAGTGCTGGATGTCCCCACTCCCCCCTCCAGCCAGAGCCCTGCCAAGGGGCACAGCCAGGCTCTTCCCCAGCAATGGCTCAGCATTGCCTCAGTGCTGCTATTTCTGCTGTGGAACGCAGTCTTGCTTCTCTCTACCAAATTACGCGCAGCCCCCTGGAAGCACCTAAACCTTCAAGCTGGTGTTACACAGAACTAGTAGCGATCAACACTGCTGGAAAGGCACAAGGCTGGACAGCGTGTGTTGTCCAGGGAGAGTGGGGGGAGAAACCATGGAGGTTAGACTAGTCCAAGATAGATACTCCTTGAAATTCAGGGCTGAGAAGTAAATTCAGGTTGCCAGAATGTTGGATGGGAGGGCATATTTCCATATGGTCCTGTGCAGGACAGTAGTAACTAGTAGTGAGGGGGGGACTGGGAGAAACCATGGAGGTTAGACTAGTCCAAGATAGATACTCCTTGAAATTCAGGGCTGAGAAGTAAATTCAGGTTGCCGGAATGCTGGATGGGAGGGCATATTTCCATATGGTCCTGTGCAGGACAGTAGTAACTAGTAGTGAGGGGGGGAAGGAAAGGGGGGAAAAGAGACAACAATGCAGTGGGTTTGTAGGCAGCCTGAATTACCATTTGTGCTAGTGTATAAGCAGCACAGGTGTACAAGCTGCTGCCTGCAGCACAGGAAGGGCAGATACTTGGGGTTCTTGACTGCAAGTATCAGGCTTGCAGCAAACATACTGGAATATTGCTGCTGATGTTCACATTGCTCAAACCACCTCTTTGGGGTGAAATGATGAGCTCTAAGCAAGGCCCAAGCCCAAATATAGTTTCCTTCAAAGCCTTCAACTCCTCTGAGAACTCAGTGACTGCTGCCTGCTGCCTGCCTGAAACCTCAAGCCTTACTAGCAAACAGATGGCATCTTCTCTGGGAATGCTGGCACAGCACAATTAGCTTGATTGATGAGCGCCAGCACTTGGCCTTGGAGCTGGTCTGGTACAAGCAGTGCTGAGCACAGCTCCACCAGCACTACTGCCTCCAGCCTGCTGCTGGACTGCCCCAGCCAGCCTGGGGTATGTTGTCTGTGCTCAGATGCTCAAGGATGTCCCCAGTCATTTCACACAAGAATACTAAAGTATTCTGAGGAAGCACTGTTGGGCTTACTGCACTCCCAGGACTTCCCTCTCTGCTTCCTATCTCAGGTGATTCAGGTTGTTTTGTTTTCCTTTGCAGTGGCTCCCCCAGCTCTTTACAAGCCTACTTGTCTAGTTTCAAGACTAGTTCAACCAAAGTGAGATGCAGAAGTGCACCCTAGAGCAATGAAGTGTATTTCTCACCTCAGAGAAGCCAAACTGAGTCCCAGCCAAGCTTTACATTGGCAGACATTCAATCAGGCCACCAGGAAAAAACGAATTATAAATCAGTGGAGCTGATTCTGCATCCTGAGTTCCACCTTCTCCTAAACCAGGGTAGGTGCTTCTGGGCCTGCAAAGCCCCGTGACTGACTCCAGCCACCTGCTCTCTCCTCTCTGTAACATTTACATCAGCTCCAAGATGAGACACCCCGGATTGTGCATTTCTGCACCACCAGCACCCACAATCCTGCCCCAATGGTGCCTTCTGCCAGAGCTCTGCCAATGCCACCGGGTCCAACCCCTCAGCATCCAATGGGGCAGCCCAGCACCAGCCCCTTCCACAGGCAGGAAGGCTGTGGACAAGAGCTGGGGTGGATCTCAAGGTCACAGAAGGTCAGAACACCCGCTAACAGGGCTGGCACCCATCCTGCCCCTCAAGCCTTGCTCAGGTTAACAAGCCCAAACCCAGCTAAATAAAATAAGCACATCCTGTGGCACCATGTACCTGCGGGACCCAGAGGGATGAAGCGACTTTGTCGTTTTTACTTCCAACAGCACAGCATCAATTCATCACAAAATATGCCACTAGATGGGGCTTTCTGGACAGCGATTCGCAGGAGAGAACCACTTCTGCTTGGTCAAGCTGCTCCTTTTCTAAACCCAAAGGTGTCCCGTTCCAGTAAAAGGAGCCCAGAAAGATGCTTCTTGGGCTGCAAGGGCTCTCCTGCATGAAGCAGGTGGGAGGGGAAGCTGCAGAGCAGAGGGCAGGATGGTTGGTGCTGCACAATGGGGCCAATTTTTTAAGGCTCAGTTTTCTCTTGAGTTTGCAGCCCCTAAGCAGAGGTCAAGCAGGAGCCTTTCCCTATGGGTGTCCCCATGGCCAGCGCAGGGTCTCCAGCAGCACTTGTGATGCTCTCGGATGGGGAAGGAGGGTGGCTTTGAGGGGCTGCTGCCTACAGGTTAGGAGGCAGGCTAGGGCATAGCACCATCACCCTCCTGTACACCCTTGGGAGCAGGACATCACGACACCAAAGGATTTATTTTTACCTTCCAGTCCCCCAAAAATGCCTCCTTTCACTATGTTCTTGCAGCCAGGCACTAGCTTGGCCCTGATCCCTCCCAATGCTCCTGGATGAAGCATGCCTGAGTTTTTTCCACTTGAACCAGCTTTCCCAAACCTTCCCATTTCCGACCTCATCAGCTCCAGCACAGATAGAGATTGGAGCAACACATGGAGGAATGATGTTCATATCCACAGCCCTCTCCTCTATCCTTTCCAGAACCTGCCCCTATAACAGGGCTGGTTTTACCCACCAGCACATGTGTAGGAAACTCCAGGCTGCCAGATTTCTGGTGATGGAGCGTGACAAAGCCAAGTGCCCCAAAGCACAGCCTCAGATATCCACGTTGCTGTGTCCAGCTGCCTGCACAGGTTTGCCTGCAGACCTCTAGGTGATGCTCATAGTGCCTGGAGACCAGCAGCTCCAGAAGCCCCAGTGCTCTCTGACTGAACCCAGCTGGTTAGCAATTGTGACAAAATTTGTAACTGGAAATGACCCCGAGGCATGCCTGCCTTGGTGGAGAATGGCTGTCCAGCTTGGCCAGGCACCCCAGGGCTCCAATACACAGCAAGGCTTGTGTGGCTCTACCCCAGTACAAGCTACATAGCACCCATCAGGCAGTAATTCATCTGTGCTCTCCAAAATCACTGAATACCTTTAAAGAGCCATTGCTGCTGCTTTCCATGAAGGTTGCAAGGCAGGCTAGATGTTTTAAAACCAGTATCCATCAATGAACCTATTTGTTACATATTACAGGATGGTTTGTGTTGGAAGGGACCTTAAAGCTCATCCAGTTCCAACCCCCTCCCACGGGCAGGGACACCTTCCACTAGAGCAAGTTGCTCCAAGCCCCGTTCAACCTGGCCTTGACCACTGCCAGGGATGGGGCAGCCACAGCTCCTCTGGGCAGTGGCTGTGCCAGTACCATCCTCATAGTAAAGAACTGTTTCCTAATATCTAATCTAAATCTCCCCTCTGACAGTTTAAAACCCATACCCCTTGTCCTGTCTCTACATGCCCTCGGATGATGATGAATTACTGGTGCAGTTCAGAGGCTGCTTTAGCCAAAATGACAGCCTCCCACAGATCTAATTCCCTGGTGTCAGTGTCTGCC